CTCTGCGATACACTTAATCTCAATACTCGCGCTAAAACAAACAGTATCACGAGCGAACGAACGTTAACTTCAACGATACCCTGTGACTGCAGTTCAATTACTCACTATCTACACACACATTACCTTTCATTACCGCGTCACGTTTTCCCCTCTTATATATATACCAGCGTACCCTATTTCTTGTAAATACTAGACCATTCGCCAAGATACGGGATAGTTCTGGAAACAAGAGAGCGTGAGAATTGTCACGTGATCTCGATGACGCAACAATACTAATACAATCTAAGCATTCTCTCTAAACGTTTAAATCCCATTCAGTACTAGCAATAATAGTGTGTTGAATTTACTATAGAATTGAACGCAGTTGTTCTTCAAAATAAGATTCAGGAAGGCTCTATGGGAGTTCATGAGCTCTGTCTACTACACTTTGAAATATTGAAGAATAATGTTGTATTTAACGAGCGGTGAGGAGAAAACATTATAACATACCTTATTTGGAAGATTTATATTAAAAATAGTAAATTTTATACTTTAAACCTTAACGTATATATATATATTGAAAATGAACTTGAACTTTTTATTAATGGTACTTAAACTCAGTCCATGTGCTTTTTGTGCACAAAAAAAAGAACCTTCTCAGAGCGCATTTCTTGAACTTAGATGTAAGTATCATTAATCACAGGTTTAAGTTCGAAATTATTAATAAAAACGTGCTTTAAATTTTTAACGTTACAGATTCTCTATTTTCTAAAGTGTAAATAAAATCAAGAAATGAAAGAGTAAAAAATCACGCTTTTTTCTATTTAATATATGCTCTAGTTACGTAAAGAATAAAAGACAACAACCAGTTAATCTAATTTGGGTTACAATAAACACTGTAAATATATAAAGTTTGTTTTGAATTTCGCACAAAGCTACTCGAGGGCTATATGTCCCTAATCTATCAGTGATAGACTAGAGGGAAGGCAGCTAGTCAACACCACCTACTGCCAACTCTTGGCCTACTCTTTTACTAACGAATAGCGGGTATGACCGTCACATTATAGCGCCACTACTGCTGAAAGGGCGAACGTGTTCGGTGATGGAGAGTTGAAAGTAACATTGAAAAAGACCCCATAAATTAAGTGGTTTGAATAGGATCTCTTGAACTGCCACAGAGTTATATGGTGAATTTGGATTTATAATATTTTGGTGTGTATTACATAGCTTCATAATATATCTTCTAGTTTTATTTTAACTAACTCGTAAACATATGGCGGTAACATATTGTTGCATCAGCGAAGTCACATGACTAGTTTCTAGAACTATCTTGTACCTTGGCGAATGCTCTAGCAATTACTAGATATAGGGTAGTCTGGTATATAAAAGAGGATAATGTGTGTGTAGATAGTGAGTAATTGAACTGCAGTCAGAAGTATTGTTGACGTTCGTTGATATAGCGTTTGTTTTAGCGCGATTGTTGAAAATAAGTGTATCGTAAAGTTATATTCAGAAAGAATAAACCAGTTTTATTAAGTAAGGACTTGTGTCGCTAAAGTATCGTCGGAACGAAGTTACGGAAAATTAATTAACAAACGGAGACGTAACAGTGGTAATAGTGTTCTTCTATAGTAGGTCATGTGATATTTCGAGGTAAAGGCCCCCCTATGTTAAATGAGAATGACCAGTTGTGTAATTAGCACTAGTAAGTAAGTTTATTTGTTTGTTGATAAGCATAAAACCACATGATGGGCTAACTGTGTTCTGTCCGTTACAGGTATTAGCTCATGGGCTAACCATGTTCTGCCCATAACAGGTATTACCTCATCCTAATATGAGGTAATACTTCATACTAGAATTTCAATAAGATAAAAAGATATGTAAAAAAATTCATGACCTATAATAAACTATGAGCAACCTCATTTTGTCTAAGTAAAATTTGAAGTTAATCCAATAAATGTACTGCGCAAGTAGCTACTAGTTGTTTATATCTCTTCCCACCAAAATATAATTCACCATGTATAATGATTATAAGAAGATTTTCATAGAATACTTCCTGTCAATAGCAGAACGCAGTTTAAAGTATTCTTATTGTTGATGTCGTGATGCAGAATTAGGCTTAAGCGTATGTACAGTACAGTTAGTGCTGGTCGTTATTAATATTATTAATACTACAAGTATAACAGTAAAAATAATAACTTTCAGTTTATTTGGTAAGTTATATTATATATTGTTAACCATTATTTACTAACTAGATTATGATATTGGTAGCAATACCAGTAGTATTCTTATTCTTGTATTCCTATAAATGTATAATTTGTAATTACTAAATTTGTGAAAAGACGCAGCGGTCCTGATGCGATGAGGTTACCAAAGGTTTCCAGAGTGAAAAACTGGGATATTTTTTATTCCCATGCGGAGTGACACAGTTACTTGTAAGAGTATCACTAACAGCTCTGAAACAGTTTAAATTACAAAAATACACCATTTGCTAAATAACCATACCTTTATTGCATCATGTTTTAAAACCACAGAAAAAATTCTTCAAAATTTATTTAGTGAAATAAAAACATATCTAAGCCGGGCTTAAAGCTAAACTCTCTTGAATCTTCTCAAATTGAGTCCAAAGAAAAACTTTGCAGCATCATTTTCTTTTTATGCAACTGGGCAGGTCTTTAATTTTTAAATCTCAATTTCTATGGTAGACCTTTGACACGTTGGGTTAAGAAAACATAGCAGAAAAAGAGGGAATACTGTACTTCAATACTTGTCTGAATGTCGTGACCATTGTCAGATTATTCTTCAAATTTAAGTACAATTTAGAATTAAATGAAGTGTGTTTAATGAAAAACTGTACACATGAAACTTATGTTGAGGTACAGAGAAACTGGGACAATTTAGTATTTTTACTGTGTCTGTTTGGGACACAAAATAAGACTAAAAACTGGGACATCTGGTAACCCTATCCACATAAAAATGAAAATGTGTATCTGCACAAATACTCATTTTTGTACATAAATAATTCATTAGAAATAAAACTGTGTGAACCAAATACTTGTACTATTCACTGGTGGTAGTATGTGTATCATTCACAAATGTATGCATAGTCACTAGTTTGAAAGAAACAAAAACCTGTATTGATAATGAAACAAACACAAAGCATGGGGGATCATTCCCAGTGTAAATGGATTTACAATTTCTATACTGATTTGGAGGATTTGAAGTAAGGTTCTATACACTAAATTCTATAAATAATTTGCATTCCATCACTATATGAAAGCCTATAGTTAATTGTGTTATCAGTCAATGAAAGGAGTGGAAGCCATACTTTCTCTATCCCCTGATTGGGTATGCCATGCAGATTATATGAGGTTTGCAAAGTGGGTATAATGACTAAAGCCAGTTGTAAACTTGTGAAATAGCTTTTCCAAAGGTGATGTTAGTTGTGATTTTTTAACATTTCATGCATAGGTACATAATTATAAAAGGATATTTTTAGATTGGGTTGATTGTTTCAGTCGATGGAGAGGTGGCCTTGTAAGAAAGCTCTTATTACATGAAAGTAATTAACATTTTAGAAGAAAAGCAGAGATGGGCTGCAAGTAAAATACTTTTAAGTCATTTAAGCTATCAGGAGAGTCTAATATGTTTTTGTACTTGCCTTCTCTGGAGAGCAGAAGAATTAGGGTGGCTCAGACAGTTTTACTATGATTTGTCTCTGAGTGGTGGAATGAAAAATTAAAGGGTGGAAAGAAGTTAGACATATGCTTCAAAACAAATTTGGTTAAAGTTGTAAATGTGATGAATGATTTGCTTGACTGTTTGTGCATGTATTTTAAATTTTGTTTAAAGCTTGAATTTTTAATTCATATGAATGGAAGGACTATATTTAAGTTGGATAAAAAAATTATTTATTTTTGACATCGTTCCTTTTCTTTACAATATATTTTTCTGTGAATAGTCTGTCACTTTGATTTTTCCTTTGATCCAAGTACTTTTTTTATGGGTTTACAGTTATATAATTTTGTAATTATAGTATAGTATCTAAAATATTAAAGTTTTAAATGTATCTTGAAAATATTTAAAGATTCATTATATTGGTGTATATAAATTTTTTTATCTCGCATTGTTTCCAGAATCTTAATGTTGATACCCAAATCTAAGGTAGAACTATGATCAGTAGATATTTGGTAATCAATAATTTGATCACGATTTTAAAAATGAGGTATAATGTTACTAATGGTGGTTTCATTGTACATTAAAATATGCTAAAATATTCATGTTTTTTGTGTATTTTTTTGTAAATTATGTTTGGAACAGTGTCTTTTCAGTAATATAACACATACTGAATTTATTATTTTTGATACATTTGTTTCAGATATGTAAGTCAGTGGTCATAAATGTATGAACAAGCAGTTTACTCTGTGTGAGAAATGACTTCATTTTGGGAACATCCTACATTATGGTTAGTGTTTGGACTGGTATGGATTTTGAAACTACATTCATGTTTTCATGTTCAGACAAGAGACATAGATGTTGCTATTGGCCGAGGAGTTTTCCTACAGCCTCAAGACTTGATATTTCATGGCATTGGTGCTGATGATATTTGTAGGTTGGAGGTAGTTTCTGTGGAACCAATGAGTCAAAGAGTTGGCGTATTGGAACCAAAGGTAAATTAGTTAATTCTCATAGGTGGAAGTTAATTTATGAGCCTTAGTTTAGTTTCATAAATTTGGCCATTAAATTTAGATTCAATGAAATATCTCTCTCTGTTACTATTTTCAGTAAGTTGGCTTTCTTTCTGTTGTAAAGAGACAAGAGATATAATTGGCTGTTTTAAATTGTATCTAATGAGGTTTCTGTAATGCTTTCCCATCAAATCATACTTTTCAGAAATAGTTTCTAGAACTGATTTCTTGTTTTTGTACTGTTGAAAAAACACAGAGGAAGAAGCTAAGATCTTTAAGATGTACACATACATTATTTTCTGTTACTTAAACTCATTATCAAACCAAAACTAACTTATGAATTATTAACAAATTCTTGTATGCAATCTTCTTACTGTAAGAAATTTCCAGAACTTCAGAACACCCATTGCACTATCTTATTGAGATTCTGAGAATTGTCCTATTTTTGGAATAAAGTGGACAGTCCATTTTTTCTAATCCTCTTGCAAAGAAACTGAAGACTTGTGAATCATTGTCTTCAATAAACTTTGTTTATGTCAAATTACAGAGCCATTACTGAATATTGACCATCCAGAGACTCTTAGTTCAGATCAAAAATATTTGTATGACATGTGCAATGTGGTAATGTCAGGTCATTGTTCAAGAGAACTTGCTTTATGTGACCCTGGAACAATGAATCATTCTCGCTGGTTAACAACACCAAACAGGATTTTGTGCCTTTACATTGCAACTGCTAACCCATCCAAGAAGCTTAGTTTGTTAGTTAGATATGTAATTGAAGTTTATGCAACAGTTTGGTTTAATATCAAGAAAATTCTCTCATGCAACCATGGTTCACTGCACCCTTTTTCTAGTTGTAAGAAAATCACGTTTTCTTC